CCACATCCTGTATCACATTCAAGAAGCCCTGGTGGCACAGTGGGTAAGTGATCGGCTGCTAACCAAAAGGTTGGCAGTTCGAACCCACGAGTCACTCTGAGGGAGAAAGATGTGGCTGTCTGCTTCTGTAAAGATTAAAGCCTTGGAAATCCTATGGGGCAGTTCTGCTCTGTCGTACACTGTCGCTATGAGTTGGAATCCACTCGAGGGTAGTGTGTTTGGGTGTATCATACTCTATTTTATGTGTTATCTCTGCATATGTATTACTTCTCCCCTTTGATTTAGGCTCCTCAAGGGCACAAAGAGCCCTGAGATTATCCTAACAGCAACCACAGCACCTTACACGCGGCAGGTTCTGGATAAGCCTCAGCTGTTAGTTGAATGTAGCTTTTATTACAGTTACACTCCCTAAGGAGAGGGTAAGCCTACTTCAGGAGAATATACAACCCTGATTGCCTGTGCTCCAAAGAACCTAGCACATAAACAGAGCCACCACTTACTGGGCACTTATCGCCTGCTTATTGTAAGTGACCTCACTTTCCAAGTGAGGAAACAGATTCAGGTTACTTGTCCGAGTCACACAACTAATTAATGGCAAAGCTGGAATTCAGACCCAAGTGTTTACCGTACCATACTGCCCTTCAGAGCCCTGGTGGCACAGTGGTTAACCAAAAGGTTAGTTCAAATCCACCAGCTGCTCCGTGGAAACCCTATGGGGCAGTTGTACTCTATCCTACAGGGTTGCTATGAGTGGGAATTGATTTGACAGCAGGGTTTTTTTGGTTTATACTGCCCCTCACAGTGAAGGGCTTGTTTTTGCAGGAAGAGAGTGAGGTACAGGCACACTCGAGGTCCTGTTTTCCCTCTGTTGACTCTCCAAGGCAAGGAGCAATGCCTTATCTAACATTGTCGTCTGTTGTACATAGGTGTTGTTGTTAGGTATGTCAAGTTGATTTTGACTCATAGCAACCCCATGTGACAGAGCAGAACTGCCCCTGCCCCACAGGGTTTTCCAGGCTGTAAACTTTATGGGGAGCCCTGGTGGCGCAGTGGTTAAGAGCTTGGCTGCTAACCAAAAGGTCAGCAGTAAGGATCCACCAGCTGCTCCTTGGAAACCCTACGGGGCAGTTTTACTCTGTGCTATAAGGTCATTATGAGGCAGAATCAACTCGACAGCAATGGGTTTGGTTTTTGTTTTAATCTTTAGGGGAGCCCGCTAATCTTTCCGTTAGCAGCCCAGCACTTAACCATTGTGCCACCAGGGCTCCACTGTACTTACACAGTAAAAAAATAACAAACTAAACCCACTGCCTTGCAGTCGAATTCTGACTCTTAGTGACCCTATCGGACAGAGTAGAACTGCCCCATAGGGTTTCCAAGGCCGTAAATCTTTATGGAAGCAGCTGCCACATCTTTCTGCCACGGGATAATGGTAGGTTCAAACTGCTGAACTTTCTTTCCGTTTGCAGCCAAGCGCTTTAACACCGGCCACCAGGGATCCCTGAACATACATGGTACATAGCAGTAAATCAAAAAATTACTTCTAATTGTATAAATTTCAAACAATGATATAAGCACTAATAAACTGAAATATAGAAGGAAGGTACTGTTATCACCTCTAGCTCAATCCTTATTTGTGACTGTGTGACAAGGAGCCCTAGTGGCGTAGTGGTTAAGCGCTTGGCTGCCAACTGAAAGGTTGGCTGTTCGAACCCACCAGCGGCTCTGCGGGAGAAAGATGTGGCAGTCTGCTTCCGTAAAGATGACAGCCTTGGAAACCCTATGGGGCAGCTCTACTCTGTCCTGTAAGGTCGCTATAAGTCCGAATGGAAGGCAGTGGGTTTGGTTTGATAATACACGGTGAGAATCTAACCACTTCGTGAAGTCCGCAGATAGAACAACGGCCACGACTAGATCTCGCTAAAACCCCCAAAGCTGGCCCATGTGCCTTAAGTCGTCGCCGCACAGGAACCGCAACGACGCGCAGCCCACCCAGCTACCATCCAGGCGCCCCGCCTGGCACCACTCAGCAGCCGCCAGCTGTGCAAAGAGTCACCAGGGTAGGAACCTCTGCCCGTATCCAACATGGCACCCTTGAGGCTTCAGGCTCACAGATCACGTGAAGGGAACTCCGTGTCCTCATTGGCCTTCTCTCCTGGAAGTGCGTGGTACCCTTGCCGGGCGGGTGCCGGCCTTAAAGGGCCCGCCGCTCCGTGCGCCGGAGCTCCGCCCCCGGGGCTGGGCG